AAAAAAAAAAAAAAAAAAAAAAAAAAAAAAAAAAAAAAAAAAAAAAAAAAAACTGGCCTAATTATAAGAAAAACTGAAAATAAAAAAAGAAGATGGGCTTGGGCTTGGGCTTGGACTTGTATTTGGACTCGGGCTTGGGTTTTGCTATTGGGTGGAAGATTGGTCCACTTAGTTGGGGTCCATTTTGGTATGTACGGTGTTGTGGTGGGCTATGTTCCAAAATCGTGCTGGAAGGCCTTGAGAGGGAACGGGAAATGGACTATGCTGAACCCCGTTTTGCGAACCAACTAATTCCCACCTGCCAACTCAGCAAAAGATAAATAATTTAAATAATTACTCAAAAAGTCCAAAACAGTTTTCAAATTTCAGTACCTGAATTTGGTGACTAGATGATGAATCAGGATCAAGATCTCCAGCTTGGCAAGCTCGTTCCCTGGGCAGGTATGAACTCCACTGCCAAATGGCATGAACGTATTGGGTTTCGGTGCAACCTGAAATTTGAAACGCCCATATTTTCCCTAATTATTATTCAAATATCCATTATACACAAAAATATTAACATTCAAATTTTAATTTACCTCAAATCTAGAAGGGTCGAATTTGTGAGGATCGGCAAAATATTCGGGACTGTGATGGATGTTTCGAAACAAAGGCATCACTTTCCAACCTTTTGGAATCAAATACCCTATTCCACGTCATTTCACAAACTCAAATCATTTTATTATTTTAAAAAATATATATATATATTAAAAAAAAAAACTTCCATCAACAACTCTCTCTTTGGGTCTACTCCCTTACCTTTGTATTCCACGTCAGCTACAGCCTCCCTGAATGTGAATGATATAATGCTCGCCATCCTTAAGCTCTCCAATACTACCTGAATTAAAGATTATTTATTCCTAAATCGTCCATCTTAATCACCCCTAGATGGGTTACCATAAATTTATTTACCTTATAACTCATGGGCATGTTTCTTGTCTGAACCCAGTTCAACGGTTGATTTTTCTCGTAATTGAACTCTAAAATTTCCTGTTGCTCTTTCTAAACGAAAAAAAATGATTTTTTAAACAAATAATCATGATTTTGAATAAAAAAAATTACCTTTTTTTTTAAGGGTACGTAACTACTCACTTTTAGCGTTTGAAGAAGCTTGGGTTGGTCATAAAGGTACTTGACGACCCAAGTCATGACACTGGCTGTGGTGTCTTGAGCCGCAAAAAGCACCCCAATTATGTTATCTTCCATTTGGGCATCGCTTATAGCTTCACCTTCTTCATCTATGGAGTTCAGAAAGCACCCCAAAAGATCCTTCTTCCCCACCTTCTTCTCCCTCCTTTCGTGGATTATATCACCTAAGATTTTACTTAGCCGCTTTCTAGCCTGTCCAAGGGGACAACTAATTTAACATAAATATATATATAATATAACATAATAATTTTCCATCTTCTCCTTAGGTTTTAACTTACCGAGAGTGCCTTTTTGTATGGAGTTCCAGGAATGTTGGTGGGGAAAGAATTGTAGCCTGCGTCCAAAATGCTGTAGTTTTTTTTCAGGTCCTCTTTGTAAGCAGCTTCTAAATGCCCAAAAATGGCCAATATCCCAACTTCAAAGGATATCTAAACAACACAAATTTCAAGACTTAAAAAAGTGACCGACCCAATAACTATACGGCCCAGGATTAAAAAGAAACCAAACCAAACCAACCTTTTTCATCTCATGAAAAGTGTTCATAAGGTGGGCACCGGTCCAGGAGTGGAGAGCGGAGGTGGTTACGGAGTCGATATCGGGGACCAGGCTCCGGATGACGTCCAAAGATAGAGAGCTCTGAACCAGCTTCCTAAGGCGGCAATGATAGTCACCTTGGTGATAAAACAAGGCAGATGGGCCGATCAAACGCTCTTTGCTTTTGGGGTAAGTAGGCTTAAACAAATGAGCCTGTGTCACCAGCACGAACCTCGCCGCCTCGGGGCTAGCTAACATCACGCAAGGACATCCAAGTATATGCGTCTTAAAAATCTCCCCATACCTAAAAAAACAAACAAACCACGTACAAGTCAGCACCAACCCACCTTAGCAAACAAGACACTCAAAACTAAACAAAAAGGCGCAACCTTTTCTGTTTGGCGGCGAAGAACAAATCAGGGTCTTGAGAATAGAGCTGAAGGGTTTCTCCAATATAAGGCCACCCTAAAGAACCAGGAGGGAGCTTAGCTCCATCTCTAATGCCTGCCCTCTTGTTTCTGTTTAAATAAATATACGACAATACAATGAGAAAAAATAGCAAAAGAGATGCAAAAATTACACCCATTTACTCCCCCTTCCTGCAGTTGTTTCCGCCGACACTTTCTCTCTGAAATTGGTTAAACACAATTTTATTCTTGGTTGTAATTACAGTGATTCTCTGAGAAGCAGGGGGGTTTTATACAGAGAGCAGAGGAAAAATTAAGTGAACATGATGCAGAGAACCAAACTATATAGAAATGGCAAGATTTTAAACATCCAATAACATGGGGACAAATATAAATATATATATATATATATATGTATATTTAAAATTATATAACATAGATGATACAAGACAAGACCTTGGATTTTAATGTTGTTACCAAACTTTTCATGGTCTGTTACATTCTGTCTCCAAACGACAATCCACCGTGGAAATGATTCACCTTTTTTAAATTATAAAAATTATTAATACTTTTTTTACCACTCCCCCGGGTGAGGTGACTTTCCTTCCTTGGGTATTTACCACGCTGTTACTCACTTGTCACTTTTCATTTTTAACTGCATTAAAATTTAATGTCCACGTGTGTAATTCACCAAAAAAATTTAAGAGCGTTACTAGGAAAAAAATAAAAGTTGTTGAATAATATAATGTTAATTGGATATACTAAGAAGAAAAACAGTTTTGAGTTGACTTGTGAGTTAAGGAACAGTGAATGTGGATGTCATGGCCATTAATACACAATCCGTTACGTTCCTCTTTTCGTGCATGTCATGTGTTTCTAGCTTGTCTTCCACGTACCAATCCCACGTGCCCATTTCTCATTTCTACTATTTATGATACTCCACCATTAGTCTTAACAATAATCTTTACCTCTCCATATTATTCATAATCTTATTATTTTTATGGTATGTGACATTAATATTGATAATATTTTATTTTTTGGAAATTAATCCAAAAAAAATTCATTAAAATGAATAATGTTTCTTGAAAAAAAAAATGACAAGAGGGGGTGAATGTAGTCACGTGATATGGACGTGGGGCCGCCTTAATCCTAATTTTATCTCTTAGAGCTAAATAATCTAAGGGAGGTCCAAACATAAATATGAACTAATAATTGTATTTATATATATAGAAAAAATTACTTAGTAGCTTCAAAAAAAAAAAATTGAATTTAATTTTATATAGTAACCATAACGATTATGAAATAGAATTTAATAATTACTAAAAACGATATTAAATCCATAATCTCACGGAAATTATAAAAAGTGAGTATGTGATACTTTTATTTAAATGGTCATTGATAAGTCTTATTATTTATATTTAAATTAACTATAGTTTTATTGATTTTTTATTATTATTATTATTTATGTATATTGATATTAAAGTCTTGAAATTCGTTAATTTATA